TATGACTTTAATATCACTATTTTTATCACATAGAGTTCTGTATGTTGTATTCATAATTAAATGCAGCAAAATAAACCAATTTAAAGGTAACAGATCTGTGTAACACTTGCTTTATTTACATAATGACTTTAATTGTTGGATATTGGCCCTGTTTTACACTCACACTATTTTAACTAACACACACACACACACACACACACACACACACACACACACACACTGACAGAAGTCTGGCACTACTTTCAGTTGTTTTCTCCTAATAAACAGTTCACCTGCACTCACCTCGGAGAACATGGGCAGTTTTTTGGCAAAGTCGACGACACGGGTGATGGCAGGGGTGATGATCTTGGTGAATTCGCTGAAGGCCTCCAGGTCCACCTTGTCTCCGTCTGACGTAGGAGCAATCGGAGACTGGCCGATTTTATCTGGCTACAAGGGGAAATAAAAAAAAAACAGATCAGGGCGGGATGTAAATTCAAATCAAAGACAGATCAAGGAGAAAAACAACAGTTTTTCTGAAGAGGACAATCTTGAATTTTTAAATCTTTTATCATTTGAAGCTTTAATTTCTCCAATTTTTATGCCTTGCCAATTCCTTCCAAACTCACCCCTAATTTTATTCTACAAAATTTAATCTTGCTCAGTCACATAAAACATATTTAATTTCTTCTTAAAGCCACATCCATCTGTTATTTTTATGATGATTATAGAACCAATCACATGCATACATGTTGCTGTAATATCTTAAGCTAACTGCTGAGTTTTGTTTACTAAAATTCATTTTAGAGACCTAATTTATAAAGATTTCCTCACAGAAATTGAGGCTAAGCCTAACTTGCATGTTTCTGTTACATCACTAACCTATATATAAATTAAATGTGCTGCTTAAATATAGAGCATTTTGAGGATGCAGGACAGCATCCTGGAGACAAAGGGAATATCAAAACAACTTTTTTCTTAAGCCCTGATAGGGAATCAGCTTCACGAATAGGACTGTCACAATAATTGATTATTTTGCTGGACGATAAATCGCCTCAGAAATTATCGCAATAAACGATAATATCATTTGGAGACTAATAATAATTTGCTACCACCCTGTGCTACGTGCAAAGCAGAGCTTACGGAAAATTATAATGCTGCGCCAAGAAGTGGAAAATAGGGAGACATGAAGAAAACAAGCAAGCAGACAAATGAGGCAAATTGATCCTGTTGTAAGAAAATATTTGTGTTCATTAACTGAAGTCGAGACGAAAACACATGAATGTTAAATAAATTGAAGTGTGAAGAGATTAGGCCATACAACCCCAGATACGGTTACGAGCGAAGCGTTATTGCTCATGGCTAGAAGCAATCTGAGCAGCGCTGCCTGAAACCCGGAACTTCTGGTCCTTTTATACAGTGTCTTCAGTGCCTGGTCTGCCCCCTACTGGCCTACGGCTGAATCACACGCACTMTGAACAACMATACTCACCTTATGTATTAGAAACGGTTTGTTATGTGTTGTAAAAATGTTTCGGGCCTGTATCTAAACTATTTTAATCAAGACATAGCAATAGTTAAACAATGGATTGTAACAGTCAATACTTAAAAGGAAAACTAAGAAAATGGTGTAGGGCTGCAACGATTAATCGATTAATCG